AAGTGTACAATGGGAAATGAGTTTGGACAGAATGAGCCTGTGTGCAGTGAATCTGAAAGCACAGTGCAATACTGCCTCTAATTTGGTGCTAATGAACAAGCTTAATGAGTCGGCAAAGATGACCAGCAGGGATAACGAAAGTGTCACACTAATGCAGTTGGGAGTGTTCTTCTGAGGCCAGGAATACAGGACTGAGCTCCTGGCAATTCCGAGGCAGCACTGTCCCTTTATCTAATTGAAACTGAGTGATGCCTGGAGAATATCTAATGTCAGAGTTTTGAAGTTTTGAGCACAAGATTATTATCTGAAATTTAAAACATATCAAACTTACCATATTAATGCAGGGCTTGCACAGAATCTCTGCTTTCTCTCCACATATGCTGCTAGACCTGCTGAGTTTTTCCAGAAATTTCTGTTTGCATTTCAGATCTTCAGCATCCACAGTTCTTTGTTTTACGCTTGAACAGAACCTGTTGAGTTACTAATTCAGATGAGATGTTAAAGGGAGGTTCTCGCTGGTGGATGCAAAACATAGGTCTGCTCCGTCTTCTGGTCAGTGTTTATGTCAACCCACATCAGTAAAAGAAACAGACTGTGTGGTCATTGTCACGTTGTTGCTTGTGGGATCTTACTGTGCCTGCATTGATTGCAGTTTCTCCTACATTACACAATACTGACAACAGTCCAGAGGTATTTTATTGGCTGCAAAGTGATTGGAGATGTCCTGAGGTTGTTCAGGATGCTATAGAAATGTTAGCTCTTTTTCTCTCTTTCTTGCTGGTCATCCAGGTGTGGTGCGTGTTGTTGTAATGCTTCGTTAATCTCCTCAGTGAAAAGCTGTCTTACTTAGCTGTGTGTGACAGAAGTGACAGACTCTAATAGGCCATGTCCTGAGCTGGACTGTGCTAAATGGCTTTGTGTCATGCTCTTAACAGATGAGACAGCAGTCATTGAGGGGGGTGGGGGCTGGGGGAGGAAGTCCTAAAGCATTTCAGGGCTCAGGGCTCCCTTTGAAATAATGACCTATGATAGACCATGATCATCCTGGTCATTATACCTATTATCATTAGTTTGACCTCTGTCGATCCTTTCATTCCCAATTTGCATGCAGGTCATAAATCACATTCTTTGAAAGAGATTGGCACTGCTATCACTAAGTGACAAATCTAAATGTTAATAGGGACTAAACTCACTCAAAATAGAAAAGTTTGTCTTCAAAATGACAGTGTACAGTGTGATGAATTGTTCATGAACCTATTGGTCACCGTAGCTGTAATTGTTATAAAAATGACTGTCTTTTATTTAGTTTCAGATGTCCTGCCCTTTCTTTATCATAATTTTTGATGATGATTGAGGTGTTTGATTTTTTTCCTAATTTATTCATTAAACATTTGCGTCTTTATTATTTCTTAAAATGTCTGTGCAGGCTTGTAGTAGTGTTTTGACATTTTATGTGGGTCTGCACTGTTGTGGGCACAGTTTTAATGTTTACAGTGAATAACTGGCTTATTCATTTGTGGCCAGATCTGGCCAAGACTAGAACAAAAACAACACATTGCATTTGTGTAGGATTCTCAATGTAGTGCAACATCATGGGGATCTTTACAGGAATGCTTTCAAGTGAAATGCCAGGCTTCACCCGGAGTTATCCAGAAAGGTGAGCAAAATCTTGGTCAGAGAGATAGGTTTTAGGGAGCATCTTAGACCACAAGACCATGGGAAATACGAATAGGCGTAGGCCAATCAGGTCTTCAAGCCCACTCCACCATTCAATAGGATAATGGCTGATCCAACGACACTCCTTACATCCACTTTGCTGCCCTTTCCCCATAATCTTTGATTCTACTATTGACCAATTATCTAATTATTTCAGCCTTAATTGGACTCTCTGTGGTGAGGAATTCCAAAGATGCCCCTTTATTCTGAGACTATGCCCTCTGGTCCTAGACTCTCCCATGAGGGGAAACATCCTCTCAGCATTTACCTTGTCAAGCCCCTTAAGAATCGTACATGTTTCAATGAGATCACCTCTCATTCTTCTAAACTCCAGTGAGTAGAGTCCCAACCTGTTTAACCTTTGCCTGTAAGACAATCCCTCCATACCAGGGATCATCCTACTGACCTTTCTCTGAACTGTCACCAACGAAATGCTATCTTTTCTTAAATAAGAGGAATAAAACTGTTCATAGATGCTCCAAATGTGGTCTCACTAGCACCTTGTACAGTTTCAGTAACACTTCCTGAAGGTAGTGGCAGAACCAAAGAGGGTTTTTGGAGTAGATTCCAGAGTTTGGGACCCAGGCAGCTGAAAGAACCTCTCCAGTGGTGCAGCGATTACAATCAGAGATGCTGAAGCTGACAGAATTGGAGGAATCAAGCAATCTCAAAGGGTTCCACTGTTGTTGGTCCTTGTTCTTCTTCATGAACCTCTACTTCAGGATCATCTGGGAAGGTAACTTAACCACTGCCCTTTTTCCCCTGTACCAGATATTTCCTAATAGTCCTCTCTCTGTGCCTTTTATCCTCATCTCCAACAAGTCATAAGAATCCTGTGTAATAGCAGCAGGAGTGGATGAGCAGCTTGCTGCACCACTCAATACCATCATAAGCTTCTCCTCTACTTACCCAGTCAATTATAACAGTCAGAGGGACTAACGTAAAGAGCCAGGAGGGTGGCTTTTAAGAATGATCCCTTTGTATTTGAATGCACTGACCTGTCACCTACAGAATTTGAACATTAAAGTTGTGCACACCTGTATCACAGAGCACAGTCAACATGAAATGCATTGCTTTGTATTTGTGAAATGTGCCAATTCTTTGTTTGGAGCTGGATGAACACAGCAGGCCAAGCACCATCAGAGGAGCAGGAAAGCTGACGTTTCGGGTCGGGACCCTTCTTCAGAAATGGTGGAGGGGAAGGGGATTCTGAAATAAATAGAGATGGGGGTGCCGGTGATAGCAGGTAGATAGTGGAGCGGATAGGTGGGAGAGAAGATGGACAGTTCAAGGAGGCGGGGATGAAGCTAGTAAAGGTGAGTGTAGGTAGATAGTATTGGGGATTGGTCAGTGAGGTGGGAGGAGTGGATAGGTGGGAGGGAAGACGGACAGGTCAATGAGGCGCGGATGGGGGGGCGGGTGCTGGTCTTGGGATGAGGTCGGGGGTGAGGAGATTTTGAAGCTAGTAAAATCCACATTGAGACCATTGGGTTGTAGAGTTC